AATTATAAATCATAAATAAACAAAAAATGAGTTTTATTAGTTTTGAATTTTTTAATTGATTTTTGCTGATTGTTGACCGATTTTAAGCTGATTTATGCTGAATTTTGATCAGTTTTTAACATAAATGCTGATTGATAGCTGATTTTCTATTTATACAAAGTGCGTATTTTTTGGTAATGATTAGCAGAATTAGACTATATTTTGGCCAACTTTCGGCACTTTAAATGTGATGAATTATATTATTTTGCCTAGTAATATATTAAATAATTACTAAATCGTTAATGTCGAATGTTTTTTTATATGGCATGAAAATAGGCAACTTCAGCCATAACTAAAAATATCGATTGTTTTGGTAATGATCAGCAGAAATTAGATTATATTTTGGTTAACATTCGGCATTTTAAAAAAGTGACGAAATGGATTATTTTGATTAGTGAAAATAAAGTCACTTAATTTTTTACCTTCAGGAATTTCTAAATCATTTTGATTTTTAGAATGAATATTTGAATAATTAAATTATATCTTGATCTAATTTAAAATTATTAAATTCAAGTTATTAAAATATAAAAATTGTTACTATATAAATTGTTCTACTTCGTAATTTTTAGAAATATGCAAAATTTATAGCTAGACTGTATGCATTTTGTAGTATGAGAAAGTGTAATCATTCAATGAAATTTACAGGTGGTGTTTAATTACTATACAATAATGATTTGATATATTTAAATAATGAAATTTTAATTTATAATAATAAAAAATCTTTTAATAACGTATTATCCAGTTTTAAATTATTCGGTAAGCATTGGAAATGGATGAAAATTTAAATTCAATATATTGAAATGAACATACAGAAAGAATCTACAATAATGAAATGTTCATCCTGAAGCAAATGTAAACTTTCAAAAGGAATATTTTATTTAAAAGAATAAAAACCATGTAATATTGAATTAATGACATTTAAATTTTCCTCACTGAAGGAAATTTCTAAATTCTCATCCTCCCGTTAATGAATAAAAATATAAAACTTATTATAAACAAAGTATTCATATTTGTAAAAGGTTCAAACATTCATTCATTATTAATAATTAGCAAAAATCATGTATGAGATAAAATATGACATGATTCATAATATTGTAATTATTATTTAAAGGTGAAGGATGATTTGTGAAGATCTTAATATTTTCCGAAGAAATTGAATGAGAAAAAGAAAGAAAAAAATTAATAAAAAAAATATAAATTATCTACTGTAGAATCATTAATTTAAAAATTAATTCAAAGCAAAGAAACTACAAAGCCAACTTTATCATTATTTGGCAGTAATAACGAACTTAGCATTATTAATGATATTTTATAATATCTGAAACAACCACATTTTACATACAAAATTCTTGAAACGGTCAACATGTATATATTAAGTTCAGATAAATTCTAAAAGATTATTTATGTTTAGATGAAAAATGACATCGAACTATATTCATAAATCTGAATTTGGTTAATTATTTCGATATAATTTCTATTTAATGTATTATTTTTAAAATTTAAACATTTGCTGCGCAATATTACTATATGTTATTTAAATTAAGAAAATCTGTAGGGTTACGATCGCCAGATCATGTGATATTATATTAATAAGCTCAGGTCACATGATTATATAATAATCTGTCACACTGCATCGCTCTCATTTTTTACTATTTAATCTGGAACAGTTTTTTTTACGGTGTGAAAACTTATATATCACTCATTATTTGTCATAGATGACAGCCTCAACTTGTGGGGTTAGGTAAGCTAAGGTTGGTTTTTTAATAAATTAGAATCAATCATGTATTATTATAATATCACATGAGTAACCGCCAGTTATTAGTTAGAAATATTCGTAAATTATATATTTTTTTCTATTTATAGTTTTTAAATATTTTACTGAATAACTATTGTAATATGAGTAGATAATATGTATGTATCGGCTTAAAATGATCTAGAACCGATTCTAAATTTAAGATTATGAATTACAACCGGAACTAACTCTGAAACTGACGCTGTGATCAAGATTAAGACAGTCACAAATTATTTGATGACCAATCAAATTTTTCCTAATTGATCTTGATCAAGTTTGAATTTGATTTAAATTTTTCGAGTTATTAAATTTATTATCATTGATGGTTGATATTTAAGAAGTTAAGAATTCTAAAAAACTATATCAAATCAAATTATGAATTAAAAAGACTCTTGATAAACTCTAATAAATATTGAGATATGATAATTAATTTTTACATAAAATTTTCTTTAGATTTTCAGGAAACTAGCGATTAAAAATATTATAATTTAGATATTTCAATAATTAACTTATACTAGTTATGATTAACTAGTAATCTTAAACATAAATTTCTTTTCATCTTCCTAATATTCAAATATTTTCATTTTAATAATCAGATGAATTTAATGTTGAATAATTTTATAAGTATTTAAAAAATAAAATAATTTGTCATACTTGAGTTATATTTACATAGTAGTTCCAATAATTATTTGTTTAATTAAGGCTCATAAAATTCATTGTATTATCTGGAAATTAATGCTAAATCTTACGTTATTTGAATGATATTGTTATATTTATACCAATTTGGTAGTAACAAATGAGACTAAAATACACATTTTTCATATATTCAACCTGAATAGCTTTAAATAAAAATATAAAGTTCAAGTTGCTACACCAATAAAGAACGAAATTAATCTGAATTATACATCTATTTTCATAAAATTTCCAATTTGTGAAAATGCAATTTTTTTTGATAAAATGTTTTTTCTTAGCAAGTCATTTTTTAAAAAATAAATATTTTAAGGACTATTAACTTTTGAATATATGTAATGTATGGTTTTTATTTATACTCGTATAGTTTAGAAACAATTAGAACAAAGTATGGATTATTTCTTATGAAAATCCATACATGCGTATAGTATAATGGTTTTAAAAGTACCTCAAATAAAAAATGATACTATACTTATATTTAAAAACATACTATAAATGTTTGTGTATTACTCATATATTAAATTATTTTTAAGTGATTATCATTCAAATTATGAAAATCAAATCTTAAAATCTTATACTGGAGAAAGTTTATTCGATTCCACCTTTTTTTATCTAATATTTTATTGCAATTTCAAATTTAATAATTAATAAAATTATACAAAATATCCATATGATAATGCAATTTTCTATATACAGTTTGCGACATAAATTTCCAGAGTTTTTATTAAGTATACAAAAAAAAATACTATTACACCAATTTCTGTCTAACGTAAATAAAATTTAAAATAGCAATTCATTAGCTATTATTAGACGTAAATATAAACGCCAAATTTTTTTGTATAACAGTTTATCAATCGCAACTCATAATAAATGGCGGCCACTTCAGTGTTTGAGACAAGACGGTTAACTGTAAAGGAACTATGGTTTAATAATGTACGAAAGCCCACCAAAATAATTAAAATAACTGGGTATCCAAAGTCTACAGTATATAATATTGTCAACCGTTTAAAAGAAATGGGAAATGTTGAGCATTTGCCTCGTCTTGGTCGTTCTCTTCTTCTCATCCCCAATAAATACTGATATCTTGGTCGTCTTCTCCAAGTTAATAATGCAACAACTCCAGCTTTAATGACAAAAAAGCTGAATTTCACATATCCAGAACTTAACGTATCAACTCGAACTGTCTAACGTATCCTTTAAAATAAACTTAATTATGTTATTTGTTGACCATGAGCAGTTCCCCTTCTTAAGCCAAATCATAGTAAAGCTTATTTTCAATAGGCCATAAACCATCGCCAAGATGATTGGTCTCATATGATATTTTCTGACGAAAGTACTTTTCAAATGTTCTGCAATATCCAACTTGTACGCTACAAAATTGGTAATCTATGTCCATCACGTTCTATGGTAAAACATCTGTATAAAATCCATGTTTAGAGTGCTTTTAGCTGTCAAAGACTAATTGGTGTGGTATTATTTACAGTAAAGATGAATGCTGAGAAATATCGGGATATTCTTCGATCTCAAATGCTAATTGTGCTGCATCTGGAATTTAAATGCAGCGTAATATTCCGTAGATTTACGATTTTTGTAATATTTCAGAGTATTACGTTATAAAACTACGTAAGTTTACGAGTTCG